CTGCAGTTATTTTTGTTGCTGTTCTTGTTGTTGGTGGTGGTGTGGCAGTGGCCTCAGACTGTGTATACATGCATGCTGCATTCAGCATAGCAGCAGTGAGACACAGCAGAGAAGCAGCGGAACTTGACTTGTTAGAACATGGCAACATGCCAAAGTATGACATAACACTGCGTAGCCCAGTGCAGCTTGCACAGCAGCATGATGCACTGTAGGCGTCCTTCTCGTCCTTTGTGGGCTCCATCGGCTCAACGATCAGTTTCTTGAAGGAATCTCAACCCTAAAACCTAATCCCTAAAGCCTCAACCCTGCGCTGCAAACTCGAAGCCCCAAGCGCTAAACCCCAGTGTGGAGACTGTCCAATGATGAGGGGTAATCAAAAGAGAAGCGCAGTACTCCTGAACTCAATTTCTGCAAATCCCGACTTGATCTCAAGACACCTTCAACCCTACCTGTAATCGAAGATACCTTCTTCTTTGCCGGTTGTGTGAGGGTGTTTAGGTCTTTTGGGTTTTTGGGTTACAGGTCCTGGCTAAGTTGATTGAGGACTTATAATCAAAATCAGGTGACTGCCAGGTCCTGCCAGGTTCATTCAGCATCGTGATGACTTAAGTTTTAAGATGCTTTCTACACAGTGGGCATGTAAATACCGAGTAAGTAACGTACTTATCAATTCCTCAGCACACATACTCACGTAAACAAATTACGATACGTTAAATTAAATCACATTACATTGCATTGCACTGCATTGCATTGCATTACATACTGCAGTACATATCGCATTACATTGTATTCCATTGCATTACCTTGCATTACATCGCATTACGTTGTATTGCATTAGAATACATTGCATTACACTGCGCTACACTGCTTCGCATTGCATTACATTGCAACACATTGCAAAACATGGCATTACGCGGCATTTCATAGCATTACATTGCCTTCATTTCACTAATTACATCATATCACATTCCTTTCCATTCCAACTGCATACGTACGTATATACTTGCTTACAGACAGACGGACAGACAGACAGACAGACAGACAGACAGACAGACTGGCAGAGACAGACGGCAGGCAGGCAGGCATGCATACATACATACATGCATACATACCTTTATTGTTGGGCAGCTTTACTGATATGCTTCAAGCCCTCAAGTGACGACACTGCTCAGATACACTCACCATGGTGGAATGAGCCCACAGCCTTACGGAAAGCGACAAAACCCATTTTGCACCCGTAATATTTGTATGTGTATATATTATATATACACACAATGTATATACGTATTTGCATCCATATGCATGTGTATATAACTACGGTATGTATGCGTGTATGTATGTCTGTATATATTATCTATGTATATATATATATATATATGTCATATGAATATTCATACCCAAGAATAGAACTTGCAACATAATCATGTGTTATAGTAATATAAGCACCGATATGGATACCAATAACAGTACTAGTATTAACAGTATCATTATTGTTAATGTTAGCGCTCATAATAGTGATGTTGCCAATGATGCTAGCCTTTAAAATTTCATGGCATGTTATATATATATATATATGAAGCTAGATAGGTCGATAGATTAGATAGATTAGATAGATAGATAGATAGATAGATAGATAGATAGGTAGATATGTAGATAGGTAGATAGGTAGATAGGTAGATAGGTAGATAGGTAGATAGGTAGGTAGATAGATTGATAGGTAGATTAGATAGATTAGATAGATAGATAGATAGATAGATAGATAGATCGATAGATATGTAGATAGATATGTAGATAGATACAAGATCGATAGATAGATAGATACATACATACATACATAGACAGATACAGAGAGAGAGAGAGAGAGTGATAGAGAGAGAGAGAGAGCTAGAAAGATAGATGGACATGTAGATAGATAGATAGATAGATAGATAGACAGACAGATAGATAGATAGATAGATAGTTAAATAGATACATAGACAGATAGATAAATAGATAGATAGATGGATAGATACATTGATAGATAGTTAAGTAGATAGATAGATGAGATGAGAGTGTACAGTTAACCAACAGTAGAGTCTGTTCCGCACTTCCTCCGAGAGGGAACGCTAAGTTTAGGAATGCTGCTATTGATATCCCTCAAGGCCCTAAGCCCTAAACCGTACAGTAGTACACATGAGCCCGGGATGTAGAACCTTCCAGAAGCACATCTCTTCAAAAGCCCGCCTTTGCCTTGTAGAACCCTATTCCCTGAACCTTAAACCCTAAACCTTAAACCCTAAACCCTAAACCTTAAACCTTAAAACCTAAATCCTAAACCTTAAACCCTAAACCCTAAACCTTAAACCCTAAACCCTAAACCCTAAACCCTGAACCCTAAATCTTAAACCCTAACCTTAGGCTCCATGCGAGCGGCGCGTCGAGGGAAGATCCTTGAGCGATCGAAGCTGGAGCTGCTCCTTTTCGGCCCTTGGGGTTTTAGGGTTTAGGGTTGAGGGTTTAGGGTTTAGGGTTTAGGGTTTAGGGTTGAGGGTGTAGGGTTAGGGTTTCCAGTTACCTAAATCGGTTGATGGACTTCGTATTATATGGCTAGTAACCTATGATTTAGGTATCTGCAGCCCTAGGGAGGAGAGTTTACTTTGTGAAGGCGTTTTGAAGCGGTTCGACAAGGGTTGTTTAAGGGCTCTAAACTGAGTTTTTGTACTGAGAGGGGTTGTCCTGTGTAGCTTCGAGTACTTAAAGTCTGTGTCCTCTATTTTGCGCAAGGACGTCTCTTCGTCCACGATCATCCCCTTCCGCAGTGACTGCGAAGAGTCAGCCCAAGACTGTGAATATAGAAGCCGTTAAGTTTATGTCATTGCCGTAAACCCTGGCTGCCGGTACGACCGAGCGGAAGGTTCTTCACGGAGAGACAGCTCCCGCTCTCCCTCTTCAGCAAGGTCAAGGCGGCTCTGTGAGGGGGGGAGCTTCGTCTACAGGGATAAGGGTCTGGGGTTTAGGGTGTCTACGCAGCGACTTCGGCATCGATTGGTGTGCGTTCCATGAATGACAGTGCGGTTTTTGCAAGCAGGGACGTTTGACACCCGCGGAGGACCTTCCCAGCGCCGACAACCCCTCGGTTTGCAGAGCTTGCAAAGTAAAGCTGGGGGTTGATCTTCCAAGGGTTCCGTCAAGGCTCGTGACGCACCGTGGCTATACTAGAAGGAAGAACAACGAGAAAGGCTGCGAGCGATATACGCATAAACACACACACATATATATATATATACACACAAATATACATAGGCACACATACATGCATACATACGTACATACATACATACATAAATACATACATGCATACATGCATACATGCATACATGCATACATACATACATACATACATACATACATACGCAATCAAACGTACATACATACATACGTACATACATACATACATACATACATACATACATACATACATACATACACACACATACACATACATACATATACATACACATACATACACATACATACGCATACATATACATATACCTACATGTACATACGTATACATACATATACATACATATACATACAAGTATATACATACACATACATACGTATACATACATATACATACATATACATACATATACATACATACATACATACATACACATATATACATGCATACATACTTATGTGCTAGAATGTGCACAATATATACTTATCCGTACGTACATATACATACGCATGCACGTACGCGCACACATGCATACACGTACATACCTACACGGTCATATACATACGCATACATCTGCTGTACGTGCTCGGTGCGATCCAACGGCGATTGAAGTGTGAGCTGCTACTAGTAGATTCTTTCGGCGAGTACGCAGGCTTCGCCTGGAAATGAGAGAGCAGCATTGCATCATTTGTGGCAGGGAGGAAGGTGCTTTCGCAGGCAGTCACATACATGAACGACAAGTTTAGGAGAATTGCTTTGCTGATAGCTGGTGGTGCGCTGGGGGTTGCAAGAGAACCATCCGCAAGAACAAACTATTCTACCCTATCTACTGCTATGTTTACCTGCCTCAATCCATGCGAGAACCATCGTGCACCGAGCAGCCTTGCTCCAAGAGCTCTGGCAGGCTCGTCCATGAGGTTGATGCAATCGACGGATTGCTGCAGGTAGGCCTTGCTACACGGTTTTGGTTCAGTGCGGACCAGCAGGGTACATGCAGACTTGAGTCGTCGCTGTCGGCCTGGCCGAGCCCGAAGGAGAGCATGCAGCAGAAGCAGGCCATCGAGCGAAAAGTTAGGCGGGGGCTCGTTCTGTAACTCAAGAGGTGCCGCTAGCATCCGCAAGCTCTCCGGTCGCTTCGATGTCGATCACAGGCAGAAAAACATACTAGAAGAGCAGGCCGGTTTCCCGGTCTGAGGGACGAAGAAAGCTTACCCGTTGCATCTGCAGCAACAGCGAGTGCTGTCGACGGCTACAGAACCCATTGCAGACTCGTGACATGTCGTCATGGTGACTGCAGGTCCGAGAAGCGCGTCAAAAGGACACTTCGCGGGTGCAGCGTCGTACCGGCTGTTGTCAGGGTCTAGAAGTGTGGGAGGAAGATGAAGTGCTGCAGGACAGTGAGTACAAGTCCTCCATGATGAACTGGGGTGGCAGGATGCAGGCTTGCAGAGCAATTGCGCCGCTAACTGTCGTTTCTTCCCAACCTCTCAGCAGGGTCTCCCGCAGCTGGGGCTCATGAGTGGCGTGAGTCATCAGATTCACTTTTCAGTATGCCCGCTGAACTCCGCGTTTGTGCGAACGACTTGCCAGTCCCATGTTTGCAGGCAGATGCCGATCAGAGCTGGCCTGAGCAACATTTTTTAATGGCACATGTGGGTAGTTGTCAAAACTATGGTCCCTTTTGGGGTACCCTAAATAGTAGGTGCCGTATTATAATATGGACCCAAAAAGAGACCATAATTTTGACAACCACCCATGTGTGCATTGACTGCTCATGGGAGTAAAAAATGTGGCAAAGTCCTGTGCCTCGCAAGTCTGGAGGTGGCAAGAGGAGGAGCGAGTCAAGAAAGCACAGCAACAAGAGGTGACGGCTTTGCCGGATGTCGTTCAAGTTCTGGAGATCTCGCTTGAGGCCCAGCGGAAGTTCAACCAAGAGCAGGAAAGGCATGCAGAGGCACCCGCTTGTAGCTTTCGACGGGCAAAGCACCGCGGAAATCGGCTTCTTGGAGGTTCATGGGTAGTTATAAGTGGGTAGAATTATAGTTACCCTACTTATAACCCTACTTATAACTACCCATAATACGGGTTATAATTATAGTTACCCTACTTATAACCCTACTTATAACTACCCCTAAACCCTAAACCCTATAGAGCCCCTAAAGGAACCCTTATTACGGGACTTATAACCCTACCTATAACTACCCATAAAACCTCCAAGTTCAGGCTGGCCGCCAGCGGAAGCGGGCCGAGGCGCGCCTCACGGCTCAGCTCGAGGAGGACATGGCGAAACAGGCGGAGCTTGGCCGGTGAGGGTTTAGGGCTTAGGGTTTAGGGTTTAGGGTTTATGGTTCAGGGTTGCTTGGGCTTGGCTTCCCCGAAATGTGGCGTCTTTTGTTCCGAAATGAGGCAGCCGAAGCGAAGCTTCAGCAAGAAGAAGCCGAGGAGAGGAAGAAGCGCAAGCAGCAGGTGGAACGCACGTCCCTGCTTGGTCTGTAGCGCCTCTACAGTACAGTTTGCAATGCATTCTCGCAGAGTGTGAGAGGAAGTTGCCAAGCAGATGGCAGAAGCAGCAAAGCAAGCCGTCGAGCAGAAGGCCAAGCAGAATCCAAGAGCAGCCGAAATCTGGCTTTGGGTCCTGCGGGCACCGACATGCACACAGCCCCTGCTGGAGTCGCTGGAGGCACTGCAGAAGCAGGAGGAAGCAAAGAAGGCTCCGGAGCCACCGCAACCCCCGTTTCAGAAAGTGAGAGTTTCGGTTTGCTGACTTTTGCCACATCCTCACGCAATGTCCAAGCCTGCGTACTACCAGTATCTGCTTTGAGACGATAAAGGTAAAGCGTTTTTCTGTTTTTTTGGAAGAATGATCGCAGGACATGGCATTGATGCAAGCGCAGATTGCTCGGCACTGAGAGCAACGATCGCTGCCGGTCGTGCCGATTGAAGAATCAGATCATGACAGTGTTTCCAGATGTTGCCTTCCAGATGTTGCCAGACAGATGACCACGTCTGTTGAGACTCGCTTGATCGCAAAAAAAGCCTTTTCGTCGGCCACCCTGCCGTCTGCAGACCGCACGGAGCTGATCAGTAGCAATGGATCGGGGGGGGGGCGGCGACAAACTATCATTAAGAATAATTATCGGATGCGTCAACAGGCGTGAGGCATGAAAGAGCCAGCGAAAGGCACCGCAGATGTCAAAATGTCGTCACAGAGCTGTTCATCGAGGATGTATTCTGCAATCATGCTATTGGACTGGCAAGCATGGAGGCCAATGACATGACGGGGCCTCGGAATAGTTTCATGGCATAGTACCCACACAGGAAAAGTCACACGGGAAAAGTTGATGAAGCCTGCTCCTGCGAGATGACACGGTGCCACCTCATGCTCTGGTCGGGACGGCGGGGGCTCGGGGCAGACAGCTGGGCTCGGCCTTGGTGTCTGTTGAGATATTTCCCAAGCAGCACTGGTGGGGAAATGCACACGCGTTGGATGGGTGACAAGCGACTGGGGAATCTGGGACATGGGGGTGCGTGGCACACCGGGAACTGGAGGAGTCGGAAAGCGGGCTCTGGAAGTGCACGTGCCGGCGTGCGGTGGCTCGCAAGCGCCCGAGCTGCGCATCATTCCGGATGAGAAGATGGGTGGGGGGCTGTTCGGGGTACCCGTGCCTCCGATCTGCAGTCCCGGACAGACGGTTGGGATGGGGATCTTGAGCGGTACCCCGGGTGCAGAGCCATAGGAGCTCCGGTGCTCCCCACCCGTGTTCCAACAAGTTTCGCACTGACAGTGACGGGACCCATCAAGCATCATTAAGCAGCATCGGGGCCAGAACGATGGGCCCAATACATCGTGTTTTTGCTGACAGGACTTCAGGCGACAATCAGGGGTGCAGGTTTCTTACGCTGGTGCTGTCCAGACGCTCGGAAAACGTGCAGCCGTCCTTGAAGCCACGGACTTCAGGCGGGAATCAGGGTGCGCAGGCTGCTCACGCTGAGACTCTCAACCTGGAGGGAAACTTGAACTCCTTGTTGTCGCGTGTGCCCTGCATGCCGTTTTGGGTCTCTGTCGGAACCTCTGATCTTGCTCACATAATGCGGTGTCAGCCCCTGGGTTCAACTTGTCTGTGAAAACCATGCCGGACCACAGCACTTGATGCACAATCTTGTGGATGTTTGCAGATGCAGACTCGGATTCATGAAGGCTCTCATGGAGGACCAGGAGCGGCGACGTTAGGACCTCGAGAGCCCTCTACAAGCCGAGGGAGAAGCGCCGCTTGGGCCGTGGCATGTGGCTGACACCGAGCTCAGGTGCGGAGGCGATACAGAAGATCAAGGACAAGCAGGCAGTGGCTGCATGGTGCAGCCATGCGCAGCAGTGCCAGATGCATCAGAGCCCTGGTATTTGGTGTATTTGCAAGGGCCATGCCTTGGCACAGTACGAGGCAGCGAGGAATTGCGAGGAATGCGCCACTTCAAAAGTCACCTGTCGCAGTCGGTCAGGCTGGAGCTGGAAGTCAGAAGGCGAAGCTCCAGCAGGAGGCTGCAACCGCAGTAGGGAAAAGTTCGGCTTCAAGTAGTGCTTGAGCTCCTTTGCACACCATGCCACGACTGAGCGGTGCCGCGAAAGCTTACGTCGGTTCAAGTCGGGTTGCCTCGGGCGTCATGGCGCTGGTCGCACCTTTGACAGTCACTGCTTCCCAATCTGTGCCGCTGAGGGGTGGAGCACCCAGCCAGTCGTGCAGGTTGGAGACTCCAGGAGCTTGGAGTTTGAGCACCTTTGCGTGCCTGACCGGCGCAGTTTGCCTCAGCTCACGCCAAGCCTCCAGAGTGGCTTTGTTGGCGAAGGCTGGGAAGACTAAAAAGCTCCCGAAAAGAGAAAAAGGCAGAAAGAAGAAGCCGTTCGAACCCAGCGAGCAGTTGGGCGTGACCGAGCCCTTGGGTTTTTGGGACCCAATCGGGATCTCCCCCAAAGATGAGCAGACATTCTACGAGTACCGTGTCTGTGAGATCAAGCACGGCAGAGTTGCCATGATGGCATGTATAGGGGCGATTGGCCAGCATTACTTGAGGTTTGGCTGGTTCAGCAAGACAACTTGGGGCGAACCGATGCCCTCAGGTTTCGCAGCAGTCTTCAGCAACCCTGCTGCCTTTGGCATGATCGTTCTGACCGCCGTCGCTGGACTCCTGGAGTTCACACTGTTCAAGGATGATATCTCGAAGGGCGCAGGGAACTTCGGTGACCCGCTTCGCATAGGCCAGTACACAGATGACATGCGCAATCGCGAGCTCAACAACGGCCGCTTCGCGATGTTCTCCATCATGGGGATCATCGCTGCGGAGGGTGCCACAGGCAAAGATGCCATCGAGCAACTGGGCCTGTAAGCCTCAAGGACGGCTTTTGTCCGGCCGGTGCTCCGAAGCGAAGGACTGTCCATTTGATGAAGATAGCAACTGCAATGTGGTAGTTGCAGAAAACTAGGGTGCCCTATTTAGGGGTCCTTATAATAAGGATCTTACTATTTAGGGTCCTATATCAGGGTCCCCTATTTTCTGAAACTCTCATGTCAGATATTCCCAGTTTTCGCATAAAGTTTTCAAGCGCCGACCGCTTCAGCCTGCAAAAGCTCGCGCGCCGAAATGAGAGTTTCCGAAAATTGGGGTACCTTATCTTGGGGTCCTTATAATAAGGATCCTATTATTTAGGGTACTATATTAGGATCCCATATTTTCGGAAACCCCCAAATGATAAGTGCATGCTTCCTGTTCTGCATTGTGTGGCAGTGTGAGCACAGATTGCAGGAATCTTCCGCAGACAGAAAGCTTTCATATCAAGGGCAGCTGCGCACGATTCCAGTCGGAGCAGTCGGACTGCCCCTATGCAACAGCTTTTTCTAGAATAGGGTTTTGGGGGCTCCTTATTATAATTGTAGTATAATGGGCCCCAAAATTTAAACCCTACCAGACTTCGTTGGATTCCAGCAGTCTCATGGGTCCCAATCTGCAACAAAAGGCTTGCATGTAGGAGCAGCAGGAAGCCATGACGGAGCCACCCGATGCTGCAACTTGGGAGTACAGTGCAGTTGCTTACGTAGCAATTGCACTGACGCTGCTGATTGCAACTCATGTTTACTTCGAGTGCAGGGGCTTCTTGGCAATCGCTAGCAATTTATGTTCACTTCTCTCTGTGTGATTGTTGGCCCTAAACCCTAAACCCTAAACCCTAAACCCTCAGCCGTGGTTGTTTTAGCTAGAATTCACAGCCCCTGCCGGCAGCAGGAAGGATGAGATGGCACACGATAAGCTGGAAGCATGTCTCTGAAAGCTCTCGGGGCTTAAGCTTGCGATGTATGGCAATCTATAGATTCTGCTGCTTTCTCATCGTGGTGCTTACTGATGCAATGATGGTCTTGCAGGCTGAGGATAGCCCGCTGGTAAGCTCATGGATGGCTTTTGCGACGTTCACAGTATGGAGCTGGACCTTGATTGGATTCTACAATCTACTGGCAGCCTTTGCTTCGATCTCTGATGCCATGGGCATCATCCCCGCTGACGGTTCTGTGGCAAAGGTCTTCTGCTGTTCAGCCTGGGTCCTCTTCGAAGTACTGCTTCCGGTGTCCTGCCTGATCTGCCTTTTGGTTTGGTCAGTGCTTCTGCCTCTGGCGTATCAGACATACGGCAATGATTCAGGCCTACTCTCCGTACCAGCTCTGGCTGCTCACAACTTGAATTTTATCTTCATGCTCACGGAGACGTTCTTGAATAGGCTTTGCATTACCAGCTACCACCTGGTTTTCATGTTCTATTACGGTGGACTGTATGTTATCTTCTCGTGGTTTTTCTTCGCAGCTTACAAGTTTTTCTTTTACTTCTTCATTGATTGGCGGTATTCGTTTGTGCTGATTGGTTATACCGGATTGCTGGGCTTGCTTGCCATATTCTTTTTCATCGGCCGATGCATCGTGAACTGTATCAAGCCATCGGTGTATACTTGGGAGCTTGACCTGCAGTCCAGTACAGACTGCGAAGAAACCTCTGACTCTTCTGATGTGGACCAGTTCGCCTAGTCACCCGTGGAAGGCGGCTTGAGCATGAGGCATGACGATGACATCGCTTGTCGAGCTAAAAGAGCTGCGCTGTCGCTTTGTTTCCATGTCGTCCGCTTGACACAAAAGGCAGGCTCAAGTTGTCACAAGGAAAGCACTTTCTGCCATGCAGGAGGAGGACCGTGCTCGAAGATACCAAGAAGAGAAGAATGCGAGAGATGAGGCTGGTGAGCAGAACTGATTTGCCTTACAGCATCTGTATTCCGTCATGCCTTGGTCCCGGTGTGACGGCAGGCAGCCTTCAAAGAGAAGCGTTGCTGCCACCATTGCACACGAATGACTGATCCATGCTGTCGCACGTCCCCCTTTGCTCCGTAAGACCTTCGAGTTGCCCCTGTTGAAGCAATGCTTCAGGCGCCGACTGCCGATTTCACTGTATCCGATTCTGAGTGCACCGAACATTTAATCAATCCTGAAAGAAGAGTCGCTCTCGCATCCAAACAAGGCCATGTGCGGCTGGCAGCCTTTCTAGATTCTACTTGTAGGTAGGCGTGAAGTGCTTAAGGGGTCTTCGGCTCCATGGACTTCCAGCTCCGCCATGTGCAGCCCAGCGCATGCGCAGTGCTCCTCCGCGATCCCTGAAGCTGCGGCAGCTACCTCTGCTTTGAAGCTTCTGAGGGTTTGGATGGAGCCGCCGGTCAAGAGAGCCCGCCTGGAGCTTGGTCAAAGGCTTTCGACCTCCAAAGGTCATAAAGGCAACGCCGACGAGCCAAGCTGACTGGAAGCAAGGTCTCCTTGAGCCGGCTTCCATGACAGCCACGCCTCACCAGCACTTCCAAGACGTAGCGGCGGCCTGAGGCCTAGACTGGAGTTGATTTGATAGTTTCAAGCTTCAGGAAGAAACTGGAGACTTTGCCAGTTGCATGCGTTTGACTCTGAACAACGACATGCAGCGGCAAGACCCGCGATGCAAGGAGCTTTGGAAGCCTGCGAAGAATTTGGACAGCTTCGATGTCAGCCGTGACAAGCTGACGCTCGTCTGCACCTGTGACCTTTCCCCCTAGGAGAAACAGCGTGCGGTCCCGCCTCTTTTTGATTGCAGTGTATTGCAGTATGACCTGGAATTTTATCTACATGTTTCGGAACCAGACTGCGCTGCCAGAGCCGTGCAACAGCCTCATTGCGTCTGCATGTTTTGGCCAGTTATGGCTTGTCCACAGCAAGAAGGGAGCAATTGACGCAGGGCATAGGGTTTCATGGCCCATTATACTTATAATTTGAATAGGGTTTCATGGCCCATTATACTATAGTTATGAGAGGATTTCCATGGCCCATTATACTATAATTTGAATAGGGTTTCATGGCCCATTATAACCCTAGTAACCCTAATAACCCTAATAACCCCATAGGGTTTCATAGCCCATTATATTATATTTATATTATAATTACATTGTAATTATATTATATTTAATCCTAAACCCTAAACCCTAAACCCTAAACCCTAAACCCTAAACAGTAATTATATTATAAGTATAATAAGGTTAGCATAGCCAAGGTTGGGAGAGCTGGCAGCCGGCGGCCCCCTGGCACCGGAGCTCTTGCCGCGGGTGGGCGCAAAGGAGTCTGGCAATTGTTTAGGGTTTAGGGTTTAGGGTTTAGGGTTTAGGGTTTAGGGTTTACGGTTTAGGGAATTGTATTATTATCATTATAAAAGTTATTGTTATTTTATATTACTATTATTATTAGTATTATTTGTTATGAGTATTGTTATTAATGTTATTATTTTCACTATGATTTTGTCATTAATATTCTTAGCATTAGTATTCTTATAATCAGTATTATTGTTTATATTGTTAATATTATTATTACTATCAATAACAATATTATTATTGATAATAACATTCTTTCTTTATTGATAATAATAATGTTGTTGTTAATAATAGTATTATTATTATACTATTTCCTTGGAGTCGTAGACTTCGGATAGCAGGGTTCGAGCAGATCAGAGATGAAAGCGCTTAAACGATTCTGGCGGCATTGCAGCGCAGGGACTGTAGCTGGTAAGGGCAGTCATCTTCAAGGTTGGGAAGCTCGACCTCGCTGTCCAATCGTTGTCTTTTTTAGGGGCAGACGGCCTAGGGCCTAGGTGGCGGGTCGCATGCCACACCAGCAGGAGCTTGGCAGCGACAGCATGGACCTGGAGGTGTGGCTGTGGACCTGGACAGCCAATTCTGTTCGACCACCTCCGGACGAGAGCTGTCTGAGATGTTGAGACTCGAGGTTGACTGACCAGGGCGCTGTCAGCCACTTTCGCTTGGACTGTAAACACAGCGCGCTCATCATCACCCTCCTGAGATCCAGATCGTCGGTGACCGGAATGGACATGGGAAGCAGCTACATGCCCAGCTGCTGGGCAGGACAGGTCCCTCCCGCGCAACAACCCGATCGCTTACAGCGCGGCTGATCCAGCACCGCCGGGGAGCGAATAAAAAAGTGGCTGCAAGCTTGGAGGTTCATGGGTAGTTATAAGTGGGGTTATAAGTCCCCTAATATGGGTTATAATTATAGTTACCCTACTTAGAAACCCTACTTATAACCCTACTTTTTACTACCCATGAACCTCCAAGAGCAGACCCGAGTTTCTTGTGACTTTCCAGCTTCCAGGGCTTGGGGTGCCAGGCAAAGCAAACTGAAGAGGATGCAGATGGAGGGCGCAGCTCGGCTTCGTCTTCTTCCGTGTACCCATAACTCTTGACCCGCTCTTGACTGAGGCAGCGTTCCTCTCGAAGCAGCTCGAGGAGCAAGCGTTCCAGAAGGCACATTTGACACAAGACAGGTGATGATATGTTGCATGCCGCGCCTTCGAGGCAGCAGAGAAGGAGGAACAGCGAAAACGCTCTGCGCCCAGAGTACGTCGAGGTGTTTCTTTTACAGCCAGCCTTCATACGACGGACACATGCGGCATACGGCATACAGTCTCCCAGCAGCATCTCACAGGCTTAGTCGGTGGACGTGGCATGCCGATAGTGGGGTATCCAATGCATCTCTCGGACACGGGCCAGCTGAGCAAAAGTATCACATTCCAGCCGTTGGAAAGTATTCCCAGAGGTCGAGAGCGTTCGGATCAAGATGCTGCAGCTGCTATGGAGGAGGAGAGGCAGCAGGCAGACGATACTGCTCACATAAAACTTCACCTGCTGCATGGGTATGAGAGGATGTGGGTGTGTGTCAATGCGGTTCTGTGTGGATCCTTGTGCCTCAGACCCATTTTGTAGTATCCGCTTCTCTGCAAAATAAAAGGAGAGCACAGCCAAGTACTGCATGATGATGTATCTCGTTCAAAGCGTGAGTACCGACATGCTCACGCTTAATTGACTGATTGATGTCTGTATTTCCTGTAAGTCTGTGCGTCTGAGCACTCTGATGTCTACCGGGCTGCAGGTGTTGCAGAGAAAGCAGCGCGAGAAGGCTTGTCACGCGGCAGTGCCGAACAGCTCGCTTTGATTTGGTGAGCATCAATTAAAGGGTAGGCATCGGCGAGAAGTAGGGACTGACTCAGCAGTTTCACAGACACGGTTCTCTTTGAGACAGCACAAGCTCGTTTTGATATTTACCTGCAGGAAAATGCCGCCTTTCTCCAGCAGCAAATGAGTCAGAAGGCTCTGCTACTGTAGCTGATGTGCTGCATAGGTACATCAGCAAGAGCAAGATCGTCTCGAAGCGAATTCCACTAACTGCATGCGTAGTTGGGAACGACTCGACGAAGTCAGACAAACTCGGACTGCCCAGTTTGCCACCAAGCTGGCGAAGGACAACATGACGCAGGCTCCGCTGCCTTTGGTAACTTGCAAAGTCCCAACCAGACACGGGAAGCTCCTGCGAGGGTTGGGGACCGGGGACGTGCTTCATGCTGCTTGCGGAAATAACGTAGGGGCTTTAATAATTAGAATAGGGGCTTTAATAATTAGAATAGGGTTTTGGGGTTCCTTATTTTACTTTTAGTATAATGGGCCCCAAAACCCTATTCTAATGGATAAGGCCCCTATATTACCTACTTAAACCACAGGTCCATGCGAAGGCTTCAGACTTCGGGAGACTCGAGCGGCTTTGCAGGTGGAGCAATCGATGAACAAGGACCCGCCGGGCCGGTTACGCCCAATTCGCAGGTCTTCGGCTCTAACGCGAGGGAGATGGCCCTACCGCGGTAAGCTTGACATGTTCTGTATGACAACTCCCGTCTTGTTCTGATCAGGTTTCCAGATGTGCTAGCAATTGCCTTGTAGTGTTGCAAGAATCGCACATAGGACACTTTGTGAGAGGTGCGACCATGCATTTTCCATTTCAGAGTGACTTGGAAGGTGAATTCCAAAGGTATTCTGCGTGGAGTTCGGCGGTGAATGAACTTTCCAACTCGCTCTGGAATTCCCCCCCCACACGAATGGCAAGGCGGACAAACCCATCGCTACAGAGTTTGCGAGGTATGTGTTGAAACTAGTGGATCTTCAAATCACCATGTCGGTTGAAGTAGTAAGAAAATGGATTTCCAATCGATGCCATGGCAAAAGCAAAAGCCGTGAACAAGTTTCTGATACTGTGCACGGAGTGTGAACCTCCACGACCCCAAGCTCCATCAATGCTGGAGTGTCCTCGCACAAAAATGTCTTGCATCTTTTTGTCGTTTGAGCAGGAGAGATTGGCACGGGCCAAGAGGCCGGGACCCCTATCCCGAAAATGAGGAATGGGGCCTCGTTTAGCATACTTCGTTCAGACTTAGTGAACCCCCCGCGCCCACAACAATAATTGTTCCTGCCATGTACTCGACCAAGGCTCATGCAGAGCCAGCCGAGGCAGCGATCGTGCCAAGTAAAGCGGCTCTTTCTTCCAGATGAATCGTTTAGACCTTGAAACGAGACGCCTGCGCTGTCAGGGATGAGTTGTCGGTTGCCAGCTGAGCTGCAGTCCCGTCGAATTCGCGCATGAGCGTCGTGCGAGTCCTTGGGCACATGGTTGGAGATGTCCCA